CCAAAACAATAATTATGTTGGAAATTGGAGGTCAATCACACTCTCGCAACTATACAAAAGTTAACTGACCCGAGTGACCTGACACCCCAATAACTGGCCTGTTTGAAAGGAAAATCTAAGAAATTGCAAATGTAGTCGATTCGGAGAAACGTGCGAGGGGATTAACGGGACATCGATGTATTCTGTTCACTCATATTTCCTTTACCTTTCCAAGTACTGAATGTTTCTGGGTTTGCTTGGATTAAACAATAGGTGAAATACTTTGTACCAGATGCCTATGACTACATTTTACAACAGGCATTTCTTTAATCTTTCTCAGTAATAGCTAGTCACGGGTTGTTCCTGAATTATATTGTATTATTGTTCTAATACAAACGAGAGAAATTCGTCCATGTTCACGGTCGTATAACATAAATTGAAGGCGATAACATCATCACGAAGTTGATGCTACTGTTTTAGAAATATTCAAGTGCATTTTTGATTAAAAAAATGTATGCTTGAATAATCATATACAATTCGGGTTTACTCCGTGATTAATAAAATAACCCTACAAAATACACTTAAATGTACTAAATCTGTTGTCCCTAAGCTCTACAAATAGTAACCATTTAAACAAGGTGAAAAATGTAAGGGGAGGTAGAACTAGATATAAATACAACAAGTGTGTCGTAGTTACAACCATCGAAGTATATAACACAACAATGTGTTATATACTTCGATGGTTACAACTAGACCTAGGTACAATAAACAATAACAATAGAGAACGAGTCGATTTAAAGAGTCGTTCTCAGAGCTTAGTCAGCCTCCGTTTGCCTCCCCCTCGGCTCAAAACCCGATTTGTCCCCAAGTTTCCGTGTCCCTAAGTTTCCTCGTCCCCATCTTTCCGGACACCGACAGATAGCCTACCGGTAGGTGCTGTATCACAGCATAGGAGTTGATAGATAAGTAATAAAAAGGTGTAAAATTATATTTAGAGATAATAAAAACACTCTTAAAAAAGAATGTAACGAGAACAATCTTGTTATTCTTTTTCTTTGTTCTTCTGTTCTTTATAAGTTTTTTTCTTCAATTCATACACAAATTCAACAAGTCTCCATATTTAGGCCTACTCATTGCCCAATCACAGCCTAACTAAAGTTACCATGGTTACTAATCACAGTTTACTAAGCATTATATCGTCATCATTCCCCAGCTGTTGTATCTGAAATCTGTTGTAACATAGCGCACAGCAGACAGAAGTGTATAACGGAGCAGACGACTGTTGGCGCAAGCGTTGTTTCCATTTAATTTTCATCGAAGGAGCTGTGATGTTTCCAAAGAAAGGGAGAGGGTTTCGTTATATCAAGAAAAAGACGCTGACAAATCGTTAAGCAGAGGTTACGAACGCTATATAGCTATTCTGGCAATAAAAAATTCCTTAAATTGAGGTGATTTATAATACTCTAATTATATTTATATAGAAAGATAAGTTTTCCAGTCCTGTACAACACTGATTCACGTACGGTCTTTTCCCGGTACCTAATCAAAATTCAAGTACAACTTGATATACACAGAATCTCCGGTTCCCGACCTGGATGATGGCTAGTTATTTATTTTTTTAATTTACAGTTACATAGTACCCGTGATAAATCAAACCCGTTATTTAAACTAAAGCCACACGGTTAATTATCTCACTTGGTTTTGGATTTGCTTACAAACGTGATCGGAAATGGTTACAAACGTGATCGGAAATGGCTAGGGCCTAAACAGTATTATTCGTAAATTCGTAAACAACGTTTATTTTTGTAAACATATCAGTGACAGCTAGAAAAATGAATCGTTATCAAAATAGCTGTTCGTAATTTCATATATGACGTGTTCTCTTAACAGATTATTAATATTTCATAAATGACGTGTGTTAACGTATGTTTACTAACATGGAGAAAAAACCTAGAAAATGACACAAAATTGGGTTTTTAATCGTCCGTTATTTGATTTCCAAAATAGTGAGGCCATGTTTTAATGGCTAAGGATGACACTCCTGTGAATACAATTAAACCATTAGAATCATAATCGGTACTCTAGTTTTCTTTAGAGTAGGCTGCGTAAAACGCATTCTGGGCCGTGACAGACGGACATAAATTGAGATAAGACATGTTTCAACTTCTTCAATGTATAAAACGTAAAAATAAACCAAAACATGTATAATTCTGAGCAATGTATAGACAAAACTATTTATATAGATTAACTACAGGGTGTCCACATTCTGGAAAGTCAGGGATAGTCATGGAAAGTCATGGAAAAAAATTCTGGTCATTGAAAGTCATGGAAATAGGCAAAAAGTCATGGAAAGACATATGGAAATCCCCAATGATGGATGGATTTCAGGGGTCCTTTCAACGATCTAGTCGGCCGTAACCCCGACTATTGTAGAATTTTTCCGAATTTTTCACAAATATAAGACAATTCAATTTATTCAGTTGGTTTAGTTGATGGGTTTTGAGTTTGTATTTTGTTCATTGTTGTACCTGTTGTACGCCATTGTTATCTGTTAATACATATTTCAGTATTTTCTGTCTAGGCAGTATTATTCGTGTGTTTACGGTATATTATAATTTTCGAGTAAAGTTTGTGAGTCATCGAAATCAATGGTTAATGGTCATGGATAGGCCTAGTCATGGAAAGTCAGGGAAATTAATGAAAAAATTTCTGTGGACACCCTGAACTAGGTTTGAATTTTTAATATAAAAAAATGTATAAAACTTATTTTAGTTTTACAAATAGTGCTTGGCGGGGAATAATGTTTCTCATTTGTTGTGTACCTCATTTATTGGGGGGGCTGTTGCTCAATTGGGGGGGGGTGCGTCATGAGTCTAGGGGGGATGGGCACCCCTGTTTTTGGTTTGTTTAAAAAACGTAAAGAAACAGAAACTACATCTAGGTTTTACTGTTATATATGGATGCTCCATTTACTACCATACCATACTTGCTAGGCTATATTATTTTAACCTTTTTTGCTTGGAACGTAAAGACAGTACCTGTTTCAAATCTCCTCCAAACAATATTGTTTTCCGCCCATTGGAACTTGTCATAGTACTCACTTAGTTAAGAAATTTATTTCCTGATCAAACCTATTTCATCTTTATTCCCAGGTTATTTTGTAAGAGTAGCCGTTGAGGTTATTTCACTTCATACCAAATATTGATTATATACAATAAATAAAAATTATAGGCCCTATTATATACAATTATATACAAAATTGATATACAATAAATCTCAAAATTTAAAATGTTAGTTAATTTACAAAGAAGGTGTAGAATAAATCTAGAACATGTGTTTTGAAATATAAACAAAGCAGAAGTTTTCCATCTTGAATCGTTAATTATTTAGTCAACGTGGTTATTTCATGTTAAACGTTAAAAATACACAAATTTGAAAAGTTTCACAGTAAAATAATTTACTTCAACATTCTATAACCCTAAAAAGTCTTAATTAATATAGGTACCCTTAACCCTGGTTTTATAGTATACAGTATGTTGCAGAATTGACTAGCAAATGGAGTAATCCAGATGTAATTTTGCATACTGGCTTAAAGATAAATCACGATCAAAAAAGTTTTGGAATTTCACTACCGGTATTTTTCCCGCCGTTACGGAATCGAGACCTTTAATTTGAGCCCTCTCCGGTCGTTCTACAACTTCCCAGTTGCCCACAATTTTGACGCAAAGAATCGGCTTACGTCATTAATATATAGTTGTGTCATAATTTAAAAAATCCGGTACAGCAGTAAAGCAGTATAAAAAAATTCAGGCTAAGAATCATGAAACAGTCTTGTTACCATCCATGGGGCAGGACTAAAATTGAAGTTTAAATTTTGATTTTAAAATAGCCACCTAAGTAATCATTCTATAATTGTTATGGAATATGCTCAGGTTCATTGTTAATAAGTATGTGCAATATTTAATATAATACTAAAATTTGAAGGCTTTACTTTCAATGTCCTTTATTTTATTGTTATATTTAAAAGTTATTGCTAAAAGTAATATTTGTAATTGTAATTTATAACATTATAGATTCCGTGCTTGCAATACAGGTAGTAATAACGTTTAGTTTTTGAAATCCGAATAGAATTAATAATAAATAAAAAAACAGTATTTTCTACCACTTGTAGCTACGGGCCACCAGTTCTGGTTACGATAGTAATAATTCCCTGTGTTGGGAGGGAAACGCCACCGAGCGTCCTTACTCGATATAATGGGGGCGAAAAGCGACGAATTACCCACCCAGCCGTGGCGCGGGGATTTCTGAAGCGTCCGTCCGGGTGAAACACCATTTTGAGGGTGTCCGCGTCAAACACGTCCGGGCTAAACACGGAGCCGGTTTAACGGGGGGTTTTATGGGGTAAAAATGGGGTTTTCTAATTTTTTTACCCTAAAAACACAAAATTTATTAATTTTTCTCCAGACCTTTTTAAAGAGCTTAAAAAAACAAATAATTTAGTATATCGGAGTGTTTTTGTATGGCGAATGGTTACGGAGAAAATTCCAAAATTTGTAAATTTAAACATTCCCATGATATTCTTATGGAGAATATTGTAAAATGTTGTAGTTGACTTGTTTATGGATATATTTTGATCAAACTTGGCGGATTTATTAATTTCATACTAAGCTATTGATATTTCAATAAAAAAAACACACTTTATTAATTTGTGAGCACTTTATTAGTTTTCCTGTAGCAGCTAACTAAGGTACTCGAAACATAAATATTAATTTAATAGATTAATTGAAAATCAATCCAGGCAAATGGAAATTCGCTTAGTCGGCAGGTTTGCTGCAGCGGGGGTATTTTAGTTTTTAAGTTGAAACTTTTCGTATAGTATATTTTTTTTTATTTCTGTACTAGCATTACTCCTTTGTATTTCCAGTAGTTACATCTGTGACACCAGCCAATGGGAATCCCTGATTTCAAAAATTTAAAGTTACTGACAACGTGATTGGCTGCATAAAGAATACGTTACAAAACACCAGAAACCGGTGGGGACAACCGAACCGAACCGAAACCGAACTTCAATTCATTTCATCTTCCACTTCCACAAAATTGAAGAAGAGAAACCTTAAACCTTCAAAGGCTACGCTACCACGCTTACACTACTTCTGGAATTGGATTATTAAATTATCTCTGTAACAGGTAACTTAATTAATTAAAATAGAAAGTCACTGTTGTGCCATTAGGCAGTAAATGTATGTTCTTGGTTTAGAGACCACCACCAGCCTACTTCACATTCAGTGGGATTCGATCAGAGTTGGATTTTAAAAGTGACTGGTTTAAAAAAATAATCTATTTGACTATTTAACGTTTTTTTAAGCTACGGTATCCTCAAACTAGTGAAGCCTTTTTTATTCCTTAAGTAAATTCCCTAACTTAAAAGAAGTGCCTAACAAGTAGGCCTAGGCTAACTTATCATGAAATTACATGAAAACCTTCATGGCTTTAGTATTATTGGGCTTAGGCAAATATTGAAAACCCCTTTCAGGCTAGCCTAATTAGTGAAAACTGGTACAACAAAAGATAGGCTAGGCCTACTATAACTTTATTTTGAAAAGTACTGGTATTTTCACTTTCTTATTCCAAGTAAACTTAAGCTTCCAGACTTGGAACACACATTAGGCCTAGGCCTAGTTTGAAGTTTCGTCGGCAAATCGCTATCTTAGCCCTTTGCCTTGAATGGCCAGTAGTGCTGGCCTCAGCTGTTTCTAAGTCAGCTCGTCATTTTTTACGCAGCGCCGTGTCTCTCAGGTCGTACGGCCAGCAGTACTGGCCATTGTAGTTTCTCTGTTAGGTTGGTCATAATTCTGCCAACCTACCTACACCAGCTTGTATCAAGTATTTTTTTTATTTTTTATTATGGTATAAGCCTCCAAGTGTCCATAGTTAGGGATGTTGCGATACCACTGTCTTTCCAATATTTGGTATCGATACCGTATCGCAAAAAAGTATCGATACCGTACCTACTCAGTATCGGAACCAAAGTATCGATACCATCAGTATCGTATCCATTCGATACTGGTGACGTCATATTCTGATTGTCTGACCTTCGATTAAAGTTCACTCGCTCCAGTACAGTACAGCCAATATAAAATTTTTATTCGAGCTGCGAAGACCTACTTCATTATGTAAATAATTGATAAAATTAAAATTAACCAAACATAGCCAACCTTTGTTTTCAATGTTTAAAACCTTTTAGCTGCATTATTTATTTCATTTATTTTACAAGTAGATTAAGTCATCAGATATAGTACCATACAACAAATCCTTGGTACGAGTTGCAAATGCTTTGACTTGAGCCCATGTTTAACTCGGACTCAAAAAATCACTAATTTTCTGAGCCAGGTGAGTTATCCAGACTGCCGGGTTATCGAGTGCCGATTTTGTAGGACTCTACTGTATACTATGGTTCAAAATTTAGAGAAAATACAAATTGAATTTTTAAGTAGGCCTACCATGTAAAATTTAGGCACCACCATCTAGATGTGCTTTCTTTCTTTTTCTTCTTCTTGATTTTCTTAATCTCTGTTTCAGTTACTATATATTGAATCAAAAATGCCAGCCGAAGAAAATCTGGAAATCAATAGCCGCCTGAACCGCTACAAGAATAAGGGGAAAGACTCAGAGGTAATGTTAACCCTTCATCTGGTATTCACCTGATATTAAGCGATTTACCCCGCAATTCATTTGGTAGCGCTCAATATCGGGCGCATTTGTTAAATAATGTTAAACATTGATATCCATAGAGAACATACACTGAGCTACAAATTATACAACTGGAGGTAGCACTGACATGGCTACTCTGCTGTAAAATTTTTTATTTTGGTACACCAACTTGAAGAATCAACCAGCTAATTGGCTCTTGGCTTTTTTACAATCCCACAATCCCCTATTCAGCCCTTAGTTCCAATGTACTTTTCACCTAGTACTTACGGCGGCCAATGTCTCTCAATTCTCTCAGTGCTACCTTCGGTTGTAACTCTAGTTCAGTGCTAGCTACTATTTCGGCATCGACTTAACCTTGACCACTAAAAATTGAAATTTAAGATCAGGTAAAATAGTCTAGAAACTAGACTATTGCCTATTACGGTACGTCCAGAGTGCGCGCCGGTTCAGATTCAAATTTTCGGCGGCAGGAATCCCACTTGCATTTAAATGGAAGTGTCTATAGTGGCCGCCGGTTTCCGAGCCGGCGTGCAGGCACCTGCTTACCAGAATGTATTCTTCATTCTGGTTTCAGATTCCGATTCAGCTTTTGCTCGTATGCATGCTATTTGATTAAATAAATTTTATTTTAATAGTAGAATATTTAATTTTTTCACCCTTACTTTTAGGGTTACCACTAAACACTCTTCACGAAAATTGTTTTGTTTGTGTGGGTAACAAAAGTTTCTTACAATACGATGTCCAAATTTAATAATACTTTTCGGTGGTTTCGGGCTCCATTCAACTCAATATAGAAAGCTCTATCAATTCTAGCTATGGGAAAAGATATATATAATATTATGAACACAATTTTTCACTGGCTGTAACTTCACAACAGTTTCAGAAGTTATAATTTTACACCTTAAACCTCATCAGACAATTTCATAACAACGACTGACTTGCTTCTTTGCTAACCGAGTCAGTACCGGCGGCGTATTTTCTGCTTCCACTGTGAACACCAACAAAATATCTGACTCAGATTAACCACGCGCCGAAAATCTGATTCTGAATCTGAATCTGCGTGCACTCTGGACCGTTATTTCATTATAATAAGTCACGATCTTGTCAGTTTTAAAATTTAGTGAGAGTAGCTTAAAATTGATTTATTATTTCAAGTGTTTAAGATGTTTAAAATAGATACAGATGAAATCATATAGAAATGAAAGATTATTTGTAAAGAGTGTTATGGGTCAATCCATATCAAGTGATCCAGAAATAAAATAATTGGTTGCTTGACCATTTTAAAAATAAATAATAATTTTATCCTAGATACCTCTATCAATTCTGGGTTCAAAAGTGATTTTAATTTTTTTTTATCTCTTTTGTTACTTCTACGGCGGCCATTTTTGTTTTGCGGAACACGCAAATTTTTGCTCATGTAAGGGTTTGCGTTAACTTGCACAACTCGGTAACCATGAACACTAGAGTGATGAAACAAAAAGCATTTTAATCTGGAAGAAACAGCCTAAATATTATGTTCAGTACATATTTATTGAAATGTGTATCAAAAACAGTTTTAAACCCATCTCAACATTTCATAAGAAAACGGAAAAATTTCAACTTTTGAAGGCACATTAGGCCTACCATTAGAACGAATAAAATCTCAGACTTGATTTTTTTTGTGTGTGTAGCAACTCAGTAGAACTGTTTGTATTTCAAATATCAACCATGAGACTTAATTCCTTTAAAAGTTATCAATTTTCAAAAACTGAAATTTTTTGAAAAATTCAAATTTTGAGTCTCAATATCTTTGTTGGGACAAAGTTTAAAAATCTGAAATTTTTACCAAAAACCCCTCTTATGGTTGTTATACTGCTGTATGAATTTCATCTTTGAGATTTACTTTTAAGCTAAGTTACAGTATCATGAAAATCACAAAAAACCCATAAGCTCGGCCAACGTGGCTAGTACTGTAGGTAGCTTAAAGATTAATTTATAGGTGTATGTAATTATTTTATTTAATGTAAACTAATCTTAATGTTCATTTCAAAAATCCAAAACAGATTTTTAACTTAAACTTTGTACCCAAAGTACAAATTAGGCCTATATGTACCGCTACGGTACTAAAAATAAATAAAATCCTGCTAAATTTTAAGTTTTATTCACCATTTAACTTAAATAAAACTTAGTTAATTCTATTTATATTGAGGTCTTAAAATTTATTTTCCATTTAGATTTAATGTACCGTAACCTGTATAACACAAATCAATAAGTGTTTAGGCTATTGTGGTATTTTGAAAAAAAATAACTCATATTCTGTGGGAACTGATACAGTCTCCAGTACCTACAGGAAGTCGTAAATGAGTCACAAAACACAGTTTTTCTTAACAAAATAATTAATTTTTATAACAGATGAAGAAATCACTCAACACCTCAACAACAAACTCCTGGACCGATTTGAGAACTGTTTAAAGATTACTGGAACAAGAAGCTTCCATTGTTTTATTCCTGTACCGGAAAGTAGTAATGTTAGGTGCTTCGTAACCTCACTAGCAACTGAAAGCTGTAAAAATTACACTTCATATTAAAGACTCTATTGCATTTGTGTATGACAGTGGTGGGTGGCAGAGGTGATTGACATCTGTTATCAAAATAAAGATCCAGCAGGACCAACAACCAACCGCCTTTAAAACAAATTAGTAAGACCAAGCTTGGGTGCCTATAAACAATAACAAAGTTTTGAGAAAATTAAATCTCTTTTAACTGACAAAAACCACTGGAAGGACAAACCCAAACTGAATGAAGAAACATCCAAACTTCCTAATTAGCATGATCAAAGTAGAACAAAAAACACTAACAAGTAAAAAAAGTTGTATACTTTAAGAACTTGTCTTTCAAACAGCTTTTGTATGTAAAATGTCTAATATCCTTTATTAAAATGAAAGTGGTTCAATAAATTAATAAATTAGTTCAAAATATTTAGGCCTATTGAAAAAAAAGGTGTAAACCTGAATGAAAATAATATGATAAAAAGTTTTTTTTAATTTCACATAAGACAAGAAATTTGCAAGAAAAGGCTATAGGCCTACATTACTTTAAAGTAAGTTAGGTAAGTTTACATTAAATAAAATAATTACCTAGACCTATAAATTAATTTTTAAGCTACCTACAGTACTAGCCGCGTTGGCCGAGCTTATGGGGTTTTTGCGATTTTCATGATACTGTAACTTAACTTAAAAGTAAATCTCAAAGATGAAATTCATACAGCAGTATAAAAACCATAAGTGGGGTTTTTGGTAAAAAATTCAGATTTTTAAACTTTGTCCCAACAAAGATATTGAGACTAAAAATTTGAATTTTTCAAAAAATTTCAGTTTTTGAAAAAAGATAACTTTTAAATGAACTGTTTGTATTTCAAATATCAACCATGAGACTTAAGGTTGATATTTGAAATACAAACAGTTCTACTGAGTTGCTACACACAAAAAAAAAATCAAGTCTGAGATTTTATTCGTTCCAATGGTAAATACGCCTTCAAAAGTTGAAATTTTTCCGTTTTCTTATGAAATGTTGAGATGGGTTTAAAACTGTTTTTGATACACATTTCAATAAATATGTACTGAACATAATATTTAGGCTGTTTCTTCCAGATTAAAATGCTTTTTGTTTCATCTATGACAAGAGATGAGTTTTTATTTCATAAATATAACATAAGGATAAATTTCAAAAACCCAACAATAAATAGTGTTCATGGTTACCAAGTTGTGCAAGTTAACGCAAACCCTTACATGAGCAAAGATTTGCGTGTTCTGCAAAACAAAAATGGCCGCCGTAGGAGTAACAAAATAGATAAAAAAATTTTAAAACACTTTTGAACCCAGAATTGATAAAGGTATCTAGGATAAAAATATTATTTATTTTAAAAATGGTCAAGCAACCCCTGTTGGATTACTTGATATGGATAGACCCTTATCTGTGTTTTTTAGTTCTACGTTTTCAATCAGCCTCTAGAGTAGGCCTAGGTCAGACTATTACATTTTTAGAAAGTATATTATAGGAGTGTGCGAATAGTGATTTTCAACCTCGAGCCGAGCCGAGCTTTTTCAAAAATTTTCGAGCTCGAGCTTTTTTGAGCCGAGCTTTTTCTAGCGTCGCCTTATCTAAATTATTAAACTTTTTTTCTTAAAAAAGTGCATAATAATAATTGTTCAGTCAATTTTTAAATAAACACAATGTTATTTTAATATGTTTAAAAACATTGAGAATTGTCAAGACATCAAATAGTAGATAATCACGATAAGAACTGAACTGAACTAAATTAAGATGCAAGAAATAAAAGGATAATTGAAGGCCTGACAAGATATGCAGTGCAGACTGAGACAATCAGATTGTCTTTCATAACAGAACAGCAACGCGACCTTGAATGACGACAAAACAACTAGCAAGTCGATTGCATTATTATGTATATTGTAACTACTATGAATATTTAATTCTATTTTGTATAAATAAATACAAAATAAATTTTAAAACACGTGATTATTCTTGTTGTTTTCCATGCACAAAATATTTTAGTTTCATCAATCGTATTAATCAAAAAAGAACATAGTTGGTTTGGATCCAAAAAGGTGGAGAGACAAGAAAAAGTAAACTTATATATTAAAAAGATATTATTAACATATGGAGGAAATAGACCAAAACACTAAAATTAATAGAATAACACACAAAGTAAACAAGAAATGAAATAAAGAACACTATGAATTAACACTATCACTCAATTTTGTTATCTAGAAGGGTCGGCGAACTAATAAAAAAATAACCAAAACCAGTTTCCTCCCCTTCTTGCAGTCTCACCACCACCCCTCCCCCCTAAACCGGGAGGCCCAACACTTCGTCCTTGAAACACCCACGTCCTTTGTAGCCCTATGAATTGTGTTGCTGTTTTGACAACAGGTTTATGAATGCGATCACTATTTTTCATTTTC